ATAGATATATCGATTCTTCTTTTGCAAAGTAATATATCGACCGCGAATCTTAGCGCAAAATAAAAATGATCTTCGACAATTGCAACAAAAACGAGTCAGATAGAAATGTCTACCTTCCTTTAATATTTTAAATCAGTTGAAAATAATACACGGATATTCTTAACTTCTTTCAACACTTCCATCGTTTTAAATTTTAATTGCTCATTTTTGTCATAAATGCATAAAATCCACGGTCTAGTAATATAAAATAATTATTTTTGGTGTTCCATAAACCTAGCGTTACTGCAAAGAATTAATCGTCACAAATAGATTGAAACGAAGAGTGAAAACCAGAGGAAATGTTTAAATTTTAGTGAAAATTGCGATTGGTCGTCGTTTCGTGTATCCATAGTAAGTAGCAATGAATATTTGATTTATACCGAATTTTGGCGAATGGTCGGTTTTCGAATTGGTCTATAATAGAACAGTCGATTACTCTGACCTTCATCAATGTCGATAATTCTGAAGCAAAGCCCGGCCAGCGTCGGCTAACCCCATGTTATGGCTAGCACGATGGTACGACTATAATGAGATTGGCAAAGCGTGATTATGGAAGGGAACACTGTAATAGTGGCTAGCTAAAATACACGTATTTTGGAACACATGGCGCAGCATGCATAGAGCAACCTATATCGCACGTTCACTCACACGCGCGATATTTATTCAGGTTTCAGCCAATATTTATGGTTTGCTCAAAAGTGCAATACGGTGCACGTAAACACGCCGTCAGCGTGAATGGCTGTTCGCTGCGTTTGCCGTAGCTGTGACAAATGCACGGGAAGAATACTACGGGAAATAATATCGATGTTCCGACGAATGCGTTTCTTAACCCTTTGCACTCGAAGCCGTTTTAACCGTAAATCTAAATTAATTTTTCCCGACTTATGGTATTTCCAGTTTATATGACAAGATGCATTTTATGCATGTGAAATTTATAGTCTCGCGACTCGTACGACAGTTAGGCTATTAGCAATTTTTTACGTCTAGACTCTCATAATATAAAAGTTGTCTTGGAACGCGATGTAACAATTTTAATGGTGCCTCGGAGTCACCACTCGAGTGCGAAGGGTTAAAAATCATTTCGAGCCGTTTTCTCGTAATACTTGCGAATAATAGAAATATTCGTTACGCGCGCTCGGAATTTATTTTTCGCGGAGCTATAGTTTTAAACAATTTATTAACCGGCCGAAGTCGGAAACGTCGTCGAGTTGGGGCTCGCTGCGTTTCTCACACTTTGAATGTTTCTACAAAAATGCAAATTGCTGCAAAGCCATTTTCCCTGGAAAATATAGGTTACCAGGAACAAAATATGGAGAATTTTTCGCTGTTCGAAGTTTCATTATCGCGATACACAATATTTTTCGGAAATAAGTTTACATTACAGATGATTAAATGTCATTACTAGAACTCTGGATTTTACGTATTTATATGGAAAAATGAGTAGTTTCAATTTCACGTGGTAAAGAGATTAAAAGAATTGAAAAATGAAATTGTTGAAAAGAAAATTAACGTTTCATTTAAAATTATTTATTACTGTTTAAAAATTCATAATCTGGTCATCGTAATTGGTGCAACGTGATTTTTCATTGGACTGCAGAACGGTCCACTTCGCTTTAATTAAATAGTAAATGGTAATACCAAACGATATTAAAATTTTAATTAACACTTTGACTGACGCGCCGCCCGTATTAAAATTCATTCTCACGTTAATCTATTACATCTTCCTAATTTTATGAAAACCCGCATGACGTGTGAATGTTGGAAAAGTCTAAATGAAATACTTCTAAAATTTAATGCCATTTTCGAGATCGTCGGCCTGGCATTTATCAGAACAAACGTGTTTAAATTTTGCGAATTCCGTCAAATGGCTTTGCAAACGTGTTTTCGAGGATTCGAGCTTCAAGAAAACGCAATGTGAAACGAATCAATTTTTTCCCTCGAAGTAACCGATTGATCTAATCGTTTTGCGTTCGAATCGCAACGAAGTCCCGACATTTGTAAACTTTCTGTTACCTCGCACTAATTGTATTCGTCGCTTTCCCTTTGAATTCGGTAAACTGCGCGAGTCCGCGATGCTCTTTATTTTCTCCGGCAACAATCAGCGCCAGCACAATTGGCTTATTAACAAGGTTAGCGTAACGAGCACAAGACGTTTGATTCCTGTCACGATCCGCGATGTCCCGGTATGATGCTGGCCCGCGTTCGACCCGAACGTTTCCACAATTTCAAGATTTCGCGATCGAAGCAATTAGAAAACAGGGATAACACAGCAGAAGAAAACGTTTCAACGAACCGTTACCATTAAACAAATAAAACGTATCCGCGCTCGGATTTTGTTCGCGTTCGTACACTTCGCCAAGTTTAACAAACCCGACAAATTATCTCCCGGCGGTCGGTCGGTTTCGCTCGTTAATTTCCACGGAAATTCGAAAGCCATTATTTTCCGTAAATTAATTTTCCATCCGTTCGTTCGACGAGCACAATTTAACAGGTGGAACGGCAAAGAAGCGCCGCGGAAAATTATAACGACGGACGGGACAGACGGGTGTCGGCCGCGTGATACCGATAGCAATCGTTTGACACTTCCCCGTCTCGTTTCGTCTTTTTACACGGGATTTTCGAACCCTTTGCTCGCCGTAGACAAGCAGTTCGTTACACCGGCATTATTTAAACGGGCGGAACGGGGAAGAAACGCCAAGGAAAATTACGGTGACAAACGTGAAACGCGTCCGAGCGATGGCAACAATAATTGGCCGACGGTTTTCTGCTTTCGCTTGCTTATTTGCCCGGGATCCGCGCGGGCTCCTTTGTAATGTCTAACCGTGTTCCCGTTCGACCGGCGCTTTTCCTTTGAATGTTCCAGAGCCCTGGCCGGCGTTTCGACATCGGTGGTCACAGGATAGAGTACGAAGCCACCGACGAGGCAGGCTGGTCGAGCAAGTGCGTTTTCACCGTGGTGCTGCGCCAGGAGTGAATCGCGGGCGACCGGCCGCGATCAGCTGAGCGCGAGCAGGCGAGCCGTGGGAGAACGAATCGCCGAAGAACAGGGAATCCAGGTAAATGGGGAGAGACCGGGGTCAATGCTAGCGAGACGGAAGAATAATGATAAGGTAATATAAATGGAAATGTACGGCCACACTTCATGCGTGCCATCGGTCCCGCTGTATCCGGAAGGCTGAACAGGGACGAAACACGGCTACCTTTCCAAGTACATGCGTGGGCGTATGTTCATTGATTTATTTCGCTGGGTTAGAATCAGCGGCGCGAGCCGGATTTTCGAACATGTTCACCCGTGGCTACGAACGTAATCTATGTATACACGCCGGAATGTTGAAAAAAAGCAAGTGAAATAAATTAGAATAGATTCATCTTCGCAGTGAATTAAATTATCTTAACAATAGATTTGGTCGGTAAAGAATACGCGTATTAACAAACAATATTTCTTGTTTATTACGATGGGGAAGATGCGAGTTACGCCACTGTGATTTTAACCCATTTGACGATGAATAGGACGCGAGGAATCGTCACCTTTAATCCTTGACGCTTCGACTGCCACGCGATCGAGTTCAAATATTTCGTAATATTGAAGCATTTTGTTTAACACTAGGTTCACGGACTACTAAAAGCAACTATACTTCGTGTTATTTTATATCAAAGTAACGATAATATATTTATTCGGTGTTTTAGCGACCTTTGTTGTAATATCTGGCCCAAGTAACGAAGTTGAATGAATCGTTGAATCATAAATAAGTCATCGAATAAATTCTTCGTAAATGTGTCTTTACGATCCGAACAATCTTGAGTCAATGAATATGGAACCCGTCGTTTCGACGACACCCGTAAATCCAGTGTTAATCGATTACACCCCATGTAACGAAAGGATAAAATCGAACGCGGTGGTACACTGCTCCGATAATTTTAGATTCCGCACATCCCAGTGGAATTCGTTTCACACGCGTATGTTATGATTAGACTGCGGAGCTCTCTGCAAGATAAAAGTAGTCTGCATCGATTGTACGCAACGAGGATTAAATAAAGATATATGTACTTTTTCTTTTTAATAGTTTTAAGAAGTTGGAAACATCGTATAATAGTGTTGTAAAACTCTTCCGATGTTTTCACTGTTCTTGGTTGCACGTATATTCATTCTCGCCATAAATTCATAAAATCCGCTGTCTACTTATAACTGCTTGTGACGGTATTTAATTTTTAAGGGTGTGGCGCTTAAACCCTTGCCGTACTTTGACGAGTCTGACGCGTGACGGAGATTTCTAGTAATAATCTGTTAAGTATAAATGCTATTCCGTTCTTTGGTAGTCCGAATAAAATTCTGATTTCTTGTCACCAACATTTAAACATTTACGTAAATGTTTAAATACACGATAAATATAATTGTCATTTTTCTTAGATATTATTAGAATCGAAAAACGCCTAATCGTTGTAACTATGAAGAAAATTGTACGGCAAGGAGTTGATCGTACACCGTTCATCGAATCAAACCTTCTGAATCTGTATCGACACTTTAACCCCTTGCCGTACTTCGACGAGTCCGACTCGCCATGAAAATTGATTGAAATAGTAGTATATTATTATAATATAATAAAACTCTGTCCTTTAAAATTGGAATAACGTTCTAACCTCTTGTCATCAATATTTAACCATTCGAGTGAATTTAGGCACACGATAAGCATCGATTTTCTTTTCCTTCTAAGAAATTTGTTCTTCTTTTAATTTATTTATTTAATATCGCATCTGCTTAGTAGCAATTAGCTACCACTTGTGGGATAACATTTGCTATCAGATTATATGTAGAGTAATATACGATAGTTTTGCATTACATTTTACATTATTTTCGTCTAAGAAATGATTGAAATCGAGTAATTTCTAACGCGAAGAGAATGGTACGTCAAGGGGTTAAGAAAACATTTTGGCGCAATCGCTTGAAGAAACAGCGAAATCCCTTCCAATCTCTTGCATCTAATACACTCAAACGTATCTCTACACAGAGAACTCTGGTATTTAAGATATGCGCTAAACACCATTTGCTCCAAGAATATTATTTCGACACATCGTTCCACATTCGGCGAACACCGGCCACAAAAGTGAAAGATCACGATTTCCGGGGCGGTTCGATTTTCCTCGACAAAATGCAATATCTATTATCTAGAATCTAGAGCACATACGCGCACGATGTACTAGACGGCTACCGTTCGGGAGGTCCTCTTGAACTTTTCACGGCTGACTTTCCGCAGCCCGTGATCTGGGACGCATTCGTCCGAACTTTCTTCAGGATATAGCGGATCGCACACGTTTTACCCCACAGCGAAGCGAGTTTATCTCGGATTCGACGCGGAGACTTGAGCGTTACCACGAGCACGATCGACATGCTGAGAAACTATGGAGGTATTTCCGCAAAAATCTGCAACATTCGACGAAGCCGCCGGTTTGAACGGTCGAGCGCGACCGTCGTCGTCGTCGTCGTCGTGCTCGCGTTGCCAACGAAGGAAGTAAAAGGGAACTGTCAATGGCAATTCGGGCGCAGGACGACCTGCAGAGTGTTCCCCGATACGCGGGGCCCGTTTCCCGGTAACGGGAAAATAAATTACACATTATTTTCCGCTCGACCTTGTTTCCGAGTCGTTACAGCGGGCTTTCTGTGCCAGAAATTACTATCCATGGCAAAAAGTATTCGCACACCTTTTAAAACGGAATCAGTTTTTATAAGTAAGCCATGCGACCATAAATTTCTTTTAGACGTTAGTAAGGTTAGTGTACTAGACAATGGCGAGAAAATTGTTTTCGAAAATTGCAAATATTTGATAACGGCGAAGAAATGAAAAAATTGCTTTCTCAAAGCTGTAATGAAAATTGTAAAAATGCATTTTGTATATCTCGATGACTCGTATGCGTACAGAAAATTTGATTGAAATCGGTTACAACGAAACCGATTATAAGAAAGTTAGAAAACTATTGTTCAGTTTGAAATGGTGTACGAATACTTTTGACACCGACTGTACCGATCTTTGCAACTGTTCGAAATGGTTACCTGACGTACCGTTTCCGGTACGCGACCCGAGGGATGAATCTATCAACTGAGAAAACCGAGTGTTCATCCACTGGCTACCGTCAACCTATTATTTCAACGATTTCATATTTGCTTATTTAATTATTCCGACGGTTTACTTTAATATTAACGAGAGTATAAACTGCGTTTATTGCTGCAGGCTTTATCGGCTTTTATTCGCAACTCGCGATGTCCATACATATGTATGTCTGTCATGTGAAGTTATATATACTCGTAGGAATATAATAATTATTCATTGGATACATTGTTTTCAACGGTAACAAAATTCAAATAAAATTCAACGATACAATAGTTTGAAATAACTTGATAATGAACCTGTTTCAGCAAGAAAGAAATCAGGAAAATTATTGTATTCGCGATTATTTATATTTCTCCTCTTTGAAGATACGACAGAGACGTTTTTTGAGGTTATGTAGACCTAACTTGTGACAAGCGGTACGGTAACTAACGCATCGAGCGAGAAGTAGGGTCAATTACTGTGGGCAGTAAACAAACCACTGAAATTCGAATAAATAATCACTGTTTTGTTCTTACCTAACCTTAAATCCGTTTCACTGAACATTGATTCGTTCAATATTTTCTTAAGCTTCACAGAAAACTTCGCGAATTCGGTACCAAAAAATTGAAATAATTTGTATGGTATTTTTAGAACTTCCGTCTTTTACGCGTTTAATTTTAACAAATAAATAATTCATTGAATCTAAATTGAAAAATGTAGTATATCTTACTCGATAAATACAAAGTTAAATTACGCTTGAAAATTAATCGAAGGCACAGTAATTGACTACCCCGCAGTAACTGGCTCCGCTGCCCTACTCGAGGCAAAATTGATCAACGCGACGACAAAGCAGGTCTCGGACGTTTCGCGGACATCCCCCGCGTAAATAGGGCGAAATGCAGCCGCGAGTTTTTATGCAAATTTCGCGTGCCAGAGCGTGGCATTGTCATTTGTAGATCGAACCGACTAGATTATTGGAAGGACGTTCTATTTGCATGTTTGCGCGGGGAGACAGGGGGGTGCAGAAGCTCCGCGTCGCGTCGCCTCGCGCCTCGAATCGCGACGCGTCCCGTCGAGTTTTCCGCGGTGGTGTCATTTTTAACCGAACGACGATCGCGAAATCCGTCGGACGTGTCGCGCACGGAATCGCGTCCGCGCCTGTTCCGCCCGTCGGTCGATATCCCCGAAACTTTGGCCCGCGATGTTCGACGGGTTAACGAAACTGCTCGCGATTAATTTCGAAATTGAACGGTTCGCCGATTCCGCTTTGCGCCCGTTCCGCCTGTCAACCGGAACAACGATAGTTTTAATCCCGTCCGCGAACGTGTAAAGGTCCGGGCTCGGCGTCCGGATCGAAACGAACGGAATTTATGGAAATTACAAAGTCCGCGGGACATCAAAGCGCGGCGCGGGCACGCGCGCACGCTCCTGCTGCGCTCGGTATATACTTATTTTGCAGCCGGGCAAACGTGCCGCAATTACCGCGACGCGGCGCCAGTCTTTAATTCTCGCGGGATTCGCGCTTTTTTAAGTTCACTTCCGGATATTACGTTCGAGCCTCGCTAATTCGATGCGTGCCACCCCGTTCCCCGCCCCCTCCCTCCCTCGTCCGTCGATCGACGCTTCAATTAATCGCGGTCGATCTAGTTTTTATTGGACGACCTCTTTAAAGTCAAGCTGCTTCGGGATTTATCTGGAATCCGAGTTCGACGAGCACCGAGTAGCTGCACTTCTTGCCACCCGAACGCGACAGATTGTAGAGTCGTTCAAGATAATGGCGAGGACGCTGCGAATTCTCTGCCGGGCATTGTGCTTTTATCGGAATCCTTCTCAATTAGCAGGTACATCGCGTTGCTCTTCAACCATCGGCGCGCGCGTTTCACGCAGGCGTTTAACGCTGCAGCTTCGTTTATCTGTTTATTAACAGGTTTTTACGGGCAATCGTTTTATAATTCCCGAAAGTCTACAGATTTACAGTTGAAAATTTCTTGGGAAATTATTTGGTCCCACTGATTATTTCGATCGTGTACCAACAAGTTGTCCCCAGCAACATTATCTGATCATTTCGTTCGAGATTATCGCGACAGTAAATTATAGCTATGGCTACATATAATTTAGCAGCTATTATTTATTATAGCAGCTATTATTTATTATAGCAGCTATTATTTATTTAACTTATAATAGCAGCTATTTTTCGAGTAATAATATAAATAATAACGAGTGATAACGGTAAATAATCCTCGATGGTTATATTGATTTTACACGCTGACAATTCTTATTTTATTTATAAGTTATATTCGTACGTGAACGACTCTTAATAACATAATTATTAATTTGAGGACGACTGTGAAATTCTAACGCCGCAATAATAATCTACGGTCAAGCGAAGAAGGTTTCTTTATAAATTTAAACAATTCTCAAAGGACTTTCTTTTTTCTCGTTTCANAAGTCCGCGGGACATCAAAGCGCGGCGCGGGCACGCGCGCACGCTCCTGCTGCGCTCGGTATATACTTATTTTGCAGCCGGGCAAACGTGCCGCAATTACCGCGACGCGGCGCCAGTCTTTAATTCTCGCGGGATTCGCGCTTTTTTAAGTTCACTTCCGGATATTACGTTCGAGCCTCGCTAATTCGATGCGTGCCACCCCGTTCCCCGCCCCCTCCCTCCCTCGTCCGTCGATCGACGCTTCAATTAATCGCGGTCGATCTAGTTTTTATTGGACGACCTCTTTAAAGTCAAGCTGCTTCGGGATTTATCTGGAATCCGAGTTCGACGAGCACCGAGTAGCTGCACTTCTTGCCACCCGAACGCGACAGATTGTAGAGTCGTTCAAGATAATGGCGAGGACGCTGCGAATTCTCTGCCGGGCATTGTGCTTTTATCGGAATCCTTCTCAATTAGCAGGTACATCGCGTTGCTCTTCAACCATCGGCGCGCGCGTTTCACGCAGGCGTTTAACGCTGCAGCTTCGTTTATC